TGTATATATTGTATATATAGACAGTATATTTTTGAGACGGGCATGTCAGCTTAAGCATGGACCCCAACTCGCTAGGATTAAAGTATGTACGTGTGCATACTTACTTTGAGTACCCTAATTGTATATATTGTAAATATTGTGCATAGAGTATATAGAGTATATAGTGTATATATTGTATATATTGTATATATTTAGGGTACTCAAAGTTGTGTATACTTTCACTACAACAAATGACATCTTTACCCAGGGGTATAGAAAAGTAGTGTGGGCATAGAAAACTATTGGTAGGGTACTTTTCTATACCAATAAAAAATGCTTTTGATAAACCTATGTAAGATATTTCGGATTGAGAAATTGAGCATTCTCTTTGCCCTGACTCAGCTGTATGTATTGGAACCCAAAGGCAGTGCTACAGTGCGCAGAATCTCAATTTTCTGTTTTTTGATATTTTTATCCTAAAATACAATTCTATGGTGTTAAAAGAGATCCTCAACCATGTTCAGCAATGTATGTGAGTATGTATGCACAATCTTACACAGATTGACAGACACTTTTTACATATGTACCACCCATTTTGGCAAAAAAAAGTTGCATTAATAATTTAATACAACTTTCACATCACGGTGAGAAAATTTCTCACCGTGTATGTATATGTAAAACCACACAACAGTGTGCTTGTTAGAAAGGCTTGGTAACCAAATAAAAAGCAAAATCACAATGGTGTCTTTTACCATTTGGAACAACAAGGTCATTTGTTGATTGAGTTCAAAAACCAAAAAAAAAACTTAATCACTCTCATTGCTCTCAATATCATCTACCTGTTCAACTTCTGCAATTATTTTTTAAGCAATTTGATTGATGATAACATGGTCAATGACCAAGCTCTTCACTGTTGGCAGCAAAGTTGAATTGGTGGAAATGATGTCTTTTGAGGAAGTCAGATTTGAGTCTGAATCAACACCACAATGAGATTGAATGGATTTGAGATTGAAAAGTTTAAGTAGAGAAAAAGGTTGAGGTGGTGATGATTTGAATGGTTTGCAATTGAAGAGAAAAGGACTTGTAGAAAACAAAGAAAAAAAATGGTGAGGTCCAAAATAACTGGTGGTGATGGCTTGAGAAGAGAGAACAATGAAAAGTCGCAGTCGCATTAATTTGAAAATATTTGACTTTTAGTTGTTTTCAAGAATGCGCACAATCTTTGCACATATGTGCAGAGATCCGTGTATCTCTTTTGTTGCATTTTTGTTTACCAAACGAGATTTTTGGGTGACATATGCGACCAAAAATCACTGTGCTTTTTTGGTGGTGCACAGTCGGTTGCATAGGTCACACACCGGTTGCCAAAGTGGGTGTACAATATGACTGATGGACCATGCTTTCCCATTGGACAAGGCTCAAGAAGGGCTTTGAGTCTAAATTTATATTCAGTCCCTGTGGTCATGTGGATATTTTCATCTGTGGGTATAGAGCAGAATGGTATGTCTAGGCAGAGAGGACACAATCTCTATGGGTATAGAATAGTACTTCACCCATAGTTTTCTATGCCCGCACTACTTTTCTATACCCCTGGGTAAAGATGTCATTTGGTGTAGTGTCTGTGTATACTTTGTTGTGTATACTTTTTTTTGGCGGGCAAAAAAATTCAAATATACTTTTGGCTTCTTTTTCCCTGCCAAAAAAAACTATACACGGAAAACTATACACAA